GGCTAAAGGTCAGAGTCCCCTAATAAGAACTCTTCCAAAAGTGACAGAAAATTCACATCTTCTATTGGCCAAAAACATCTCCAAAACACAACATTTAAGGGGAAAAAAACAATTTAGAAGATAACTCTTTTACATTAAAAAGGAGAAATCAGAAATAGCCCCCAAATGTTGTTTTCATACTACGGAAATGTTCTCATCTGCTCACAAGAAATACAGCAGAAGAGAAATGTAACTCATATAGTTTTCTAAGGTCACTCATGTTAACCAAAGAATTTGTCCCTATTGTCCCTTAAAATCGTCTTGACCAGAAACAATAAGAATCAAATCTTAAAGTGGTTAAATCAGGTCCTACCAACACTCCTTCCACTTGCAAATGCTGGGAAATAGTCCTTAGTATTACATTTGTGACAATTCGGTTGCCCTCATGGCAGCATGTCAAGATGTCATAAATAGTGATTTATTATTTCTCTGGGGTATCAAAAAGCTGCTGACCTAAGAGAGTTTGACAAAGGCCTTGTTTACAAAGGAAGACTTCTAAAGGAGAAAAAAAAAAAAACAAGAAAACACTGGAGGACAGCACCACTTTTATAATTTATAAAAGTCTTCTTTTTTTATGCTCTTGCTGTAATGCATAATAATAAATGTCAAAATATTACAGTAATAGAAGAAGCATCACAATTGACTTTTAGAAAAGGATGTGATATGCTTTTATACTGGCCTGTAGAATGATTTATCTTAAACTTAATCAAAGAAAAAAATTTTAAATACTTATCTGCAAAAGTGTTACTTTCTAGTTATACCATGTCAGGAATACTTTAAACAGAATTCAAGCATTAACAATATAATACAAGCCGAGGCACTTCTTTTTTTTTTTTTTTTTTTTTTTTTTAATCAATTCTAAGCCTCAGGTGTTGGTCAAAGCACTTTTCAAGAAACTTGACGAGAAATGCTCAAAAACCACTTTACAAACGAACAAAAGAAAAGATCTAAGGCTGCTTTGAACATGCTCTTGTGGTGAATATTTTCTGTGAAACACCACAGTGCAGCTAGTCCTGATGCTGGGCTGTAACTGATATAAGTCATAAGAGAAAGGCTGCATTGAAGGAAGCCGTCCCTCCCCACACCCTCTTCAAGGGTTCTGATACCCCACATTCCTCATTCATTTTAAATGTTCTTTACAAAAATGGCATCTCTCTGATGCCCCCAAGGTAGATGGACCTCTGATCTACTGGGTTGTTTTTATTTTATTTTTTCCCCTCAGTCTACCGCAATAAGTATCTTTTGGACCTAACAGGTGTCTCTAAATCCCCTCTTTACAATAGCAAACATTTGCATTGTAAAGAAACATTTGAGGAAAAAAAGAAAGCAAGGCCAGGAGAATAAAAGAGCAATTAGATTCCTAAAAGAAAAAGTGTGTCTCATTTTGCATAACAATGCAGCAACTAGGATTCAGATCTGCCACGCCTCTTAACACTTCACCAATGTGCTAGAGGTAGCCTGGAAGCCTAAAATGCCAATGCTGGCCAATAAGCTTCTGGTAGTGGCCCCCCAGATAGCAGATGGAGAATATTACTGAAAATATTTGAAGGTTAATATGTAAGTATACACATACATAACATTGGGTATGGCTTTTTAAATTATTATTAGGGTTCTCAATGGTTTCTGAGTCTTTGGTGGTTAGATAGAAATTTTCTGCTACTCAACACTCAAGCAACAATCTCATTATTTATGCAAGCATTCTCTCTTCAGACAAGCAAGGCACAGAACCAGGTGTAAATTTTAAGGCTTTTGAAATGGAAGTTTGAAATTTAACTCGCTATTGGTAAGGCAGAAATGTTAAAAATAACCACTCGATGCAGTAAACAAACTGTGTATCCTTAATGTCTTCCTTGTGCTCTAAGAGTACACATATAAAGTCATACATGCCTACATGACGACCAGAAAGGAGACAATGATGACACCTCTCCAAAAAATTACTAGCCCAGGTCGCTTTGCTTTTACCAAAGCACCAACCTCCATCAGGTTAGGGAGGAGGAAAAAAAAAAAAGAGACAACCTTGCAAAACTCACCCAAAAGTTATATAAACAAAGAAGGGGAGAAGCCCAGTCTAGGCTTTACACCCATGTGCTACTAAAATTACATAACACCCGGTGCAGACATTGAATAAGGAATGGATTCTGCACAACACCCCCACTCCCTCGGCTCCCAAGCTTTCCTCATTCCCTTAAAAAATCCAAACGCCTGGCAAGAGCTAGTGGACGACTTTGAATATTTATTTTATTGCTGGAGTAAATCCTGCGAGAGTTGGAGGTACGTTTAGGCCCGAAGTTTGAATGTGCAACAGCCCCGGGGCGCAGCGACTCACACTCTCCGGACCCGGAGGAGAAAGAACTGACAAGCAACAGCAGCCAGCAAGGCCTTCTTCCCCCTCATGGTGCCTCCCGCTGGAAAGTTTTCCACGCAATCGATCCGAGGACAAGGAGCCCATTTCCCCCGCCTGCCTGACTTTGCAGGAAAGGCGAGCCGGGAGACCGGAGGGGGCTGGCAGGGAAAAAACTGGAAAGCTCCGCACACAGCCGGCGGCAGGGCTGCGCAGGCTCCTTACCTGGAGAACGCGGAACAAAAAGGGGCGCTGGGTTCGCGGAGCTTGGGGTGGCGGCGCGGCCGGCGGACAGGAACCGGTCTCCGAGCCGCAGCTCTAGGCCCGCGCCACAGCCCGCGGCCCGGCCCCCGCCGCCGCCGCTTCCTCCCTCGCGCGCGTCATGTCACGGCAATCAAACATGTCTGTGTGCTGTGTGCGCTTCGTTGCTGTGACTTCCTGATTCTCTGCCGCTCGCGCGCGCACACACACACATTCACAACCACATGCACACGCCACCCCCACCAGCCCTCGCCACCAAACCTCGCCTTGTCCTTCCCGGGCTCCAGGGGAGGGTGCGGGCAGGAGCAGCTGCCCGAGCCGCTGCTCCCGACGCACTGGCTCCTGCGCGCACAACACACTCTCACACTCGCACTCACACTCACGAGCAGACACACTCGCGCCGGCCGGGAGGGCGCGGAGGCTCGAGCCGCGGGAGCTCGCCGCCCCCTCCCACCCCTCCACCCTACTTAGCCGCCCTGCCAAACTTTTTTTTTCCTGCCTGATCCACGTCCAACTTCCCTCCACCCCACCCCCCAAGCAGCCCAGCCAGCCCCGCGCTCACCACCATCCGCAGCAAACGGCAACCCGGATAAAAATAATAATGCAATCCAGGCGGCGGAGGCGGAGGCGAGCGATCAGACACTGGCAGGAGGCGATTTCCCCGCGTGTACCGGAAACCGGCCCAAGTGCCCCGGCCAAGGCGCGGGTGTCCCCTGGAGCCCGCACTGCCGCGCCCCGCCCTGCGCGGTGTAACTGCGCCCAGGCTGCGAGGCCTGGTGCGGGGCACTGAGAGCACTGTGCTCCGTGTGAGCCCTGCGACCGGAGGGCGCCGAGGGGCTGGCGCGCCGGACCGGTTATTTAGGGAAGTGCATCGCGACACCTTTGCAGATGGCATGGCCGTGTTTTGCAACGCAAACGGGAGGAGGGAGGACGGCCGGGTGGAGGGGGAGAGCAAAGGAAGGGGTAAACCAGATTGGGATGGGAATAAAGCAAACTCCTGAGCAGGGAGCGAGAAGGAAGGAGTGCGTGTCATCGTTAAGAGGAGGCTCCTACTCGGTCTCCCCGCCTCCCGCCCTCGCCACCCCCCTATTCCCTCCCCACTGCAGCCCTTCCCCTTCCCGGACGAATGACACCGCCGCTGCCCGATGGTGCGCGGGTCCTGTTTGTGACAGTCAGGCAGAGAAGATTATCGGGATCATGGCCTCCCCTGCCCGCAGCCGCCGTGGCTCTCCCGGGTCCCGGCGCGCCCCTAGCACCCGGACGATCGCAGGCGCCCCACGCCCGCAGCTCCCGCGGCGCTAGCAAGGGGAAGACGCGAAGCAAAAGAACACAGACCCAGGGAGAGGAAGGGCAGGGTAACGGAGCCTGGCGAGCACCTCCGTGCCCGACCTCCTTGGGGGCCTCCTCCCTCCCCTCCAGCAGTGCGGCCCGGGCCGGACATCCCGAACTTCAACACCCGAGCCTGCGCTGCCGCCAGGTACAGGGGCAGGGACGTCCGCAGCGCCCGGGGCGCAGCCCCCTGTCAGCCCCTTTGCCTAAAGGCCTGCCTACCAGTCAGCGTCCCCATCCACGCCGGAGGAAACGCGGAAAGTGGAGGTGACACCTCCGATCAGGCACGCACCGGCCCCGCGGCAGTGGCCGCCGCCTCCTCTGCGCGTCAGCTCGGGCTTCTCCCGCTGCGATCCGCTCACGTCTCCGCAGCCGGAGCCCTTTAAACAAGTCCCTGGGAAGCTGGTGGCAGCAGTGTTCGCTGGCGCCCCGCCGCCAGCCTGGGCTCCTCGCCCTCCTTTCCCGTTCCCCTTCCAACTCTTCCGGGGAGGGTACCTCGGGATGAACAGAAGCGTTTCCATCCTCCTCCCCTGTACCCCAGGCCTTCCCCCTCCAGCTGCCACCCCCCTCCCCCCGCCTCGCTTTTAAGGGGATGGGGGGTATTGCAACCTGGCCGAATGTGTGTGTTGCAACCTTGAGTTGGCAGCGCATCTGACTGCCTACTCAGGATCAAGGCTGTGGTTTGTTGGGATTTTTTTCCTCCTTTGCCCCCTTGAAGTAGTAATTATTACTGTTATTATTAGAACAGCAAGGTTCGGTTGAAACTTTCTCGTTTCTTCCACGGCCGCCTGGGAGCTGTCGTTACAGCATTCCACCTGAGGCCCGCGGGGAGGAGGCGGGCTTTTTTTGTTGTGGCGGTTGGCCCGCCTGTTTGTTTTGGTCTCCTTGCATGCACAATAAATAATAATTAGGATAATAATGAATAATCCCGGGCGAAGGCGGCGCGGTGCTGGAGGGGTTTGCGCGGCGGCTGCAGCGGGGCGGCCGAAGGGAGGGGAAAGAGGAGAAAAGAGTTGTAAGTTATATTTACCTTGCTCGCGAGGAGTGTGCTGGCTGAATCTCTTCCCTCTCTGAGTCACCCAGAGTACAGAAACAGAGGGAGAGAAGACTAGATTATGAATATGACTTCATTGATGACAGCCGTCCCCTCCTCTTCCTAAACTCGGGCTCCGCCCAGCGTCCCACCCTCGCCTCCTCCACGGGCGCCGGAAGACGTGCCGCAGTTGGCCCCGCGCGCCGCTCCTCCCTGCCCGCCCGGGCGCGGGTTGGCGGGACGCGCCTGTCACTCGCCCAGCTCAGCGACTCCGGGAGCGCGGGGGGAGGAGGGGGCGGTGTGCAAGAATGTGGATCGAGACAGCTCTACTGTATGCGTGGATCCGTGTGTGCCTGCAAGGCGCCGGCTCTCGGGCGGTGTTTGTGCCTGGAGCAGAGAAACTGCGCAGGATGCAGAAAGCCCCCAGCCCTGCTGGAGTTGGGCGCCCGCTATCCCTTCCCTGGGAGTCCTCTTCTGCGGGCGCTGCGGGGCTCCTCCAGGGAGACTGGGGAAGGGGAGGAGGCGAAGCAAAAAGGGAGGGCAGCCGTAGTAATAGCGCGTAGTAGTTTGGGGGTATGTGGAGAAGGTGCTGGAATTTAACTGTGCCTCCGCCTGCCAGTGCGAGCCTGCAGAGAGAAAGGGAGGGGATGGGGGGGAGGGCTCCGAGTGGCACCAAAGCTGTTTGTGGCACAGTGTTGACTGTGGAAAAAAACGGGCATTGTCGTGCCGGCTGAAACTTTTTCTCCCCCTTCCCCAAGGCTGTCATTATAAATCTGCCCCCTATTCCCCGTAAAAAAAAAAAAAAAAAAAAGAAGGCGGGCACAAAGAACATTCCTGCCAAATCTGTCTCTTCCCTGAAGGACTGCAAGCTTCCAAATGCCAACGAGGGAGAAACAGCTGAGAGGCTGAACGCCTTATAAATAAGTAAACCCACCCTAACCTCTCTCTTTACCTCGTGGACTAGACACAGCACTATAACCTTCCCTCACCTGCCATCTTCGCTAAAATATTTACAAAATTACGGAAAAACAATCCCTGGGGGCGGGGCTGGCGGGTTAGGGGGTGGCTGAGGCATGGAATCTGGTTTTGATTTAAAAAGAGGAATAAATCTCTTATTCTCTGCAGACCGTAGTCTCTTCCCTCTCACCCCGCATTTAAGACCAATTAAGGCTACAAATTGTAATCTGCTGGCAAGTCGCGGTTTTGAGACCTCTTTGCTCCAATTTTCCTTGAAATACAGTACTTTGGCCGGACCAGTAGGTCAGTGTTTGGTGAGACAATTTTATTTTTAGTTTTATGAAGTGTGAAAGAATGTTAGGAGATTTTAAATCAGGGCCCTATTACTTTAGACTCAGATTAATGTAGGTGCTTGACTCTTAAAATTAAAACTGTTCCTATGCAGTAGTGTTATGAAAAGTATGATTTATCCCTTATTTCGTAATGTAATGGCTTAAATTAGTCATTCAAAGTGCACTGTGACTATCTGGTTGAGGATTTTTCCCCCTAGAGTAAAATCCTATTTTAAGACCATTTTACTGTTGCAAAATTGACTCCATTTGAGCAACTGGGTCTGAAATGCAGTTCTAGGATGCTTAAAACTTCAAGCTGGATAAGTTGAAGACAAGAAGTAATGGAAAGAACGCCAAATGCTGCCATGTAGTAATTAAGAAGCAAGAATTGTTTATATCACTAGTCCACTGCTGGCTGAAGGAGAGCCCACCAGGGCACCATTTTCATGATGGCTAGGAGTGTTGGTGATCACCCACCCCATAGCTTTCTAAGGTCTTATTACTTGCTTGTTAACTTTAGCTTCATCATTTTCTGTCTATCTTGAAGTGAACCTCAAGACAACAAAAGATAATAATACGGCTAAGAGAAGTAGAATATAGTGCGCCCTGAAGGATCCATTGTAAGAACTTGCTTTTCTGCCTGAGGATATGCCGGTGTAACTATTAACTGAGAAATATATAGTGAGAAATTTTAAGCAAGATTAGTAGTGTAGTAAAAGTGTAACATAAATACTAACTTCTAACTGCCTAATAAGTCGCAACTAATAATAGAGCCGGATGACCTAGCTGTCTCTAATAAAGAGATTTAACCTAATAGCAATGCTTATTACATTGAGAGTATTAGGTTTTAATTTTTTAGGGTCTTAATTTGTTTCCCTGGCATGCCAACCTCACATGCCAATTTTCAGAAATTGATAACTTCACTTTCATTCCCTTGTGAATAAATGCCCTTTATCCCCTTAAGATTCTACCTCCACTTGCCATGCAAATCCTCAAAAAACAAAAACAAAACCCAATCAGTTAGTAAGTCCCTGGAAAAAGAAACTGTCCATTCCTTCTGGCATTTTGTCAGAGGGAAAGTAAAGAAGAAAATATTCCCTTTGTTATATGTGTATATTCTTCAGCTCATACAAAATTTTGATGTTGTCCTTGGAGGCGTTGGTGTCCATGTATTGTATATGCACAGCTACGGGAATTGAAAATAAAATATATCATTGGGAACAGAGATTAAATATAGATACTGCATCTCCCTCTCCCTTCACGTTGGTCTAAGAAAGCACCACCTTCCCCCATCACCCTTCAAGTCTTTCCTCTAAAAATTCATCTTGTTTGTAGTTTGTACCCCAGCAGTTAGGAATTTTATAAAATAAGGCCTAAACTCAGGAGAAATGAAAAGGCAGCATCATTCACTTGGTACAAAAAGAAGATTGTAGAACATATAGCATGAGTTTCACCTCTGAGGTAAAACGAAATTTAACAATTGAAGTTAAGGAGGAAAATGATGGGGTTTTTTGTTTTGTTTTGCAGAAAATCATACAAAAGCAAATGTGGTTGGAGGGTAAAAGGACTCCAGGAGGCTGCACAGAGTGCTACATTCACACGAAGCTTTTCTTTTTGGACTTTGATGAGTCATAATGTGTTCTCTGAACTTGCTTTTCTCTTTCTAGTTTGGTATCAAAAGATAGAAGTCACTTTTTCATGTCTATATGGCCACGTTCACTTGTTATGTAAGTCTGCTTTGGTTGGCATTCTGTATAGAGGAGATATTGGATTTCAAACTTGATATCTGGATACAACACCCTCATAAAGAATAATTCCATGCACAATGTTAGGAAGCTTCTAGTCCCAACAGACAAACTGCTAATGCTGCCTGAAATGTTGCCTAGCTTCAAACATAAGCAGGTAAGACCATTTAGGCAGTGAGTATTTCATCTTCAGTTATGGAAACCAAGCTTTGACAAATTGAATCAGCTGACATTTAATTTAAAGAATAGTTTAGAATTAGCAAGTAAATTTATTACAGAAATCAACACTCCTCTCTCTCCATTTTTCTTTTTTTTCTTTTTGAGTCAGAGTCTTGCTCTGTTGCCCAGGCTGGAGTGCAGTGGCAGGATCTTGGCTCACTGCAACCTCCGCCTCTCAGGTTCAAGGGAATCTCGAACCTCAGCTTCCCAATTAGCTAGGAATACAGGTGCCCACCACCACACCCAGCTAATTTTTGTAATTTTTGTAGAGACAGGGTTTCACCATGTTCGCCAGGCTGATCTGGAACTCCTGACCTCAAGTGATCTATCTGCCTCTGCCTCCCAAAGTGCTAGGATTACAGGTGTGAGCCACCACACCCCGCTATCTCTTTTTTTCTAATGGGCATGTTCAATAAATTATGTTTTTCACAATCATTCCCCTAAGATACCACCCCCAATTCTCTTTATGATTATATCGTTCTTTAGCTTAAAATCCTTTGTCTGTTCCCAATCCATTTTACGATAAGTTTCAAACTCCTTCGCATGTTATCCTAGGCTGTGCATGGACAGGTCTCTACCAGCGTTGTAGACCCCGCTGCCAAAATGCTTGGGCTCAGGGAAAACCTGTCTACCGTTTGGTTCCTAAGTGACCACATTGGACATTTTCCCCTCTGACTAAAGTGCAGGTCCTCAACCCACATCCTCAAGACTCAACTGTGACCCAGAATCCTTCTAGTGGTCTTCCCTGTTCTCCCCAGGCAGAGGAAGCTGCTTGTCCTACTCTGCTCCCATAGCAACCAGTGTGCACCTCCATTATAGCACTTGGATGCAATTATTCGTTTGGTGTTGTCCTCTAGATGGTTAGTGCCTGAAGGGTGTTTCGATTCATCTTTGAAACTTCAGCAATTAGCCTGATACCTAGCACATTGTATTTAAAAAAAAAAAAAAAAAAAAAAAAACTTTGTTGAAGGAAAGGATGAGAGATAGATAATAAAATTACCTGACATAGAAAATTTAGCAGGTCTTCACTATTAGTAATTATCATGTTAATGAACAACATCAATAAGTGTTCCAAATCTTTACATTCTCTGCCAAGGCTTGAAAAGGCTTGGAAAATGTTTTTGGTTTTTGTTTTATTTTGTTTTGGGGAGGGCAGATGTGGGAAGATGAGGAGAAGTTACAGCTCTTGTAGTTATAGAAAGAGCACTGACAAGTGGTTTTGTTTGTTTGTTTTTAAATTAGGATAGGAGTAACATGAATGCATACATGGCAATTGTTTAATACAGTAATAATAATTATAATTGCAGCTCCTTTTCATTTCTGTTTTAAATTACATGCCTGAAGTTGTGCAGAGACTTGTACATATGTTGTTTAATCCATTTAACCCTATGAGATCTATGACTTCATCTCCATTTTATAGGGGAGGAAACTGAGAATCAGGAAGTAATTTGCCTAAGGCAGCGATCTCCAAAGTGGAGTGACCAAGACAATTCATTGTGATATAGGAAGAGCAGAAGAAATTGTTTCTTTTTTTCTTTGATAATTAAAAAAAGTAATGATGCCAGGACAAAAAAAAGAGCTTTATGTGTATTTATTATACTCATTGACCCTTGACCCTAGAGTCTTTACATGGTCCCTAAGTAAACTGGTCATGTGTCATGTAGTGAAGCTGAAGAGTACTGAAAAACAAAAAGCGCCACAGGCAGAGGGGTGATACTGGCACCTTCTGGTTCTTTCATTGTCATTGACATCTTTTTAAGCATTGATACTGCCTCAAGTTTGCAGGTTCCACGTTAAATAAATTCATAAGATTATATCATCTAGGTTTAACCAATCAACTCTCTTATTTGGAGAGCAAGTGGCTTAAAAAACAATTCCTGTGAAGAAATAGAAGATTGAGATAATACCAGTAATATAAGCACAGGTGAAAATCAGGATCAAATTTGCCAATTTAACCTCTAAGAACTCTTTTCCAGTCAAGTTGAGGAGTAAAACAATGACAGCCTAATTAGATCTAACAAGAAATAGGTCAAAAACATTCACAATTTTCCAGGACTATTTGAAATTTGGATTTATATTAACTTTCATGAATGATGAATTCTGATCTAAGCATGTACTTTTCCATGAGATACTATTGATTGTATGATAGCATGATTAGCAAGATAATTGAAAATTTTCTATTATATTCATCTTATTCTTTTATAATTTCTATTTTGTGTATGTTTTTAATGTATATAATATATTAATATTGAATACATGTGTTATGAATAAATATACATAAATCATGCTCTTTTTTTTTTTTTTTTTTTTTTTGCTTTTTAACTGTAAGGGGGATGTGATTAAACAGCTTGGAGATGACTAAATGATGAAATCAGAATTTTTAACTAAGCTTGGTAGAACTCAAGACTCAGAGTAATCTGTGTTGCTCATGTAAAAACTGCCCCAAAATTTGTCATCAGTACAGGGTTCTTAATCCATAATGGAGGGTTGATGGGGGTGGAATACAAATGATCTTTGAGGCTTCTAAGAATTCCCTGAAACTGTGTTCAAAATTCTAGGATCATGTTAATGTACGCTTTCTGCAGACAGAGTCTCTACATTTCATCAGATTCTCAAGGGGATCTTCCCCGAAAGGGGTAAGAATCACTGACCCAGAGGTATCAGCAGCCTCAATAACCTAGGATAATTTTCTGATAAGAAATTAATCCTCTCCATAACTTTTATAAAACTAAGTGTGCACATTTTATATATCCAAACATATCTACCCTTTAAAATCCTAACTCAGTGTTTTTAGATAAACCAAATGCACTCTAACTGCCCAAAGAAGGACTCCATTTGTCTCTAGAGATGGGCTTTCTGAGG